ATCAAATATTTATAATATCATAGCTCAAGTGAATTCACGCAATTAATTTATTCTTTGTTCTTATCTTTAAATTTTGAAATCGTAAAATATAAAATTATTCATGTAATAATGTAATTATTTTATCGTAAAATTATTATTTTTCAATTTTTTTCAATTCTTCCGTGGGATTGAAAAAAGTTGTGGAGATAATGTAAAATAATAAATTTAAAAATACAACCCGTGTATAATTTTTGATCTTGTCAAATAAAATACGTTATGAGAATATTGATAAAACTTATTTATGGAAAATAATGTTTACTTCATTTTGAAGCCACACATACTCGTATATACGTTTTCACAAAATCTTAAACATAATTAATGTAAAAAAACTTATAGGAAAGTATAGCAGTTATCATTTATTATTTTTCTCGGACAAAATCCTACAGATATGGTAGAAAAGTACATTTTGTCAATCCGCCACACATATAAGATATGAAAGAATGAAAGTTTCAAATTTTAAATCACGAAACTTGTATACAGCAGGGCAAGTTAAAACAAAATCAAATTATAAGTATGCAATTTCTTTCTTACAAACTCGGACCGTTATACTTGTAGGTATCCGTGCCGATAAAAACTTAAAATACTATAGTCTTGTTAAGTGGTTTTCGATTCTCTAATTGTTGGTACATATTATAATTTTCGTCGCAGTAAAGTAGCGGTAGTGTCTTTCGAAAAAAACGATACAGGCTACGTTTAAAAAGCATTCCATTTTTTGAACGACTTTGAATAAATTACATATATGAGGAATATTACAACTCTATAACAAAAGATAATGCTTGGACAGAATTATTAAAAAATGTGTACAGATATGAAGAGTAACTTTTATTTTCTCTATCTCTTTTTTTTTATTTATTTCACAAATCAACAACTCCTTGTTCCATATTTCTACCCTTCCACTACTTTACTTTCACCAGTAATAAGTGCTTACGGTTTCTCTCTATTGCTTTTATGCTACTCACATTTTGAGGAAATAATTTTCATAATACATACATTTAAATCTATAAATGTCAAGATTCCGAGTTACGAAGCAATTAGAAACTATTATGTGATTTTTAATTGTACTTATATGTAGCTCGTATTTACTATTTACATACTTATACAATCTTCATTTGTATAAATAATAAATTAAAAATTATATATGTATTGATAATTTACACAGAGATGGTATGTATTGGAATAAAACAAAAATAAATTAGGTCAACTATGAATGTTAAGTTAAAAAAAATATATATATATATCTAAAAATACATTAGATTATTTTGTAAAAGTATATTGTCAATGGTTCATTAGTTCAAAATTAAGATTATAAAACAGTAAATATTAAAAAAAACACATTTTACATTATTTCCTACTCGATATTTATTAAATTTACTATAATTTTTAATATCATCTTTAATTTATAAAAATATCATTAAACCTCTAAATTTACACATTTTAAAGATATATTTAGAGTGAATAGACTAATAATTTCATAGCTAAAATCTATGTTTGAATTTAGAAAAATTTAATAACGGTCTTAATTTATTATAAACTAATATTTCTCTTTAGCTTTGATTTTTAATAAGCTATTCTCGTTTACAAACATTTACATAGTTAATATGGCTTATCGTAGTTAGTTCTATTATTTAGTTAGTATTTAATTAGTTGATTGTTATCATATTATATTTATGAGAATTATTATTTTATTGAATCATATTATAACAAATAAAAAACATAATGGTCATTATTATAAACATTTTATATTAAAACAATAACATTTATTTGTTTTAGATATTATGATACAATATTTCTTTTAAAATAAATAATATTTACTATATTATAAAAATATATTTTTTTTATACCTTTTGACATGGAAGGAAATTCTACGTTCACGCCTCTAACTTTTTTTTATTAGAATTTTTTACCCGTGTAAAGTTATTTTTATCTATAATATCATCATTCATTTATTATGTAATTATAGTGTTGGGATTGTATTTTTATAGCCACATGAATATTTCATTATTTATTCATGTGCAGATATAATATATATAATATTATATTTTTATTTTGATATGTATCTGCTTACACCTTATATTTACTTCAGTAATGATATATTCTTTCTTTGTTTCTTTGGGGAAAAGCGGTTGTTTAATTAAAATACGATAAATTCTTCTCATGCATGGGACTATACACCATGGTGACAGGTAAAAGTAAAGATGGACCAAAAACTGTCCAAATATTTAAGTAATCGTTTTCATATATTATTATTCTTCTGACACGCATTACATGGTAGTGATATACAATATCTTCATCACTGTCGCTAATATAATATTATAATATTTAAGGATACAAATATCACACCGAACCTCTTACAATAAAACACATAGTACCGGATGGTCCACTATTCACTTGTACAAGAACTATCCACAAACATTCATCAACTATGAAAGAAATACTTGGGGAACACAACACCTACTTAATACATTAGTTTTTCAAAACTACTGGTATCAATACTAAAATTAAAAATAAGATAACATTTAAATAACATAAAAATCACCTTAATTAAGCTAACCAAACTATCATACCAAATAAACATTAAATAAATATATTAACATATATTTTAGCTGCTTACACGAGTATACATTATTCAATTCCTATATATATATATATATATGCCTTATCGTTATGTATGCTTCAATAAGACAACAACCTTAGGAATGATTTGCATCATTACTATCTTTTTGTAGACGACTAAAATCACTATGGGGCTGACCGCGGTGGAGTTAGCGATTTTAATTTCACGCCAACTCCACCGCGGTCATCCCCACGGCATTGGAAACTTGTATACTTAATCATAATACTATAGATTATTTTGTATACATTTGATATCTAAAATTGTATAATGCGTGTGATCAACGAGGGATTCTTGAATAATTTTAGTTTCCCTCTCTGGCTATTTGACTGTTATATATACAAGTCGATTTGTCAAGACAACTCTAAAGTACTGCAATATCTTATTTCGCCATAGGTCTCGAGCTGTTGGATTATTTCTTTACTGTTCCATTTCAAAGCAGATAAAATACATCACATGCATTTCGTATCTTAAACGATTGTTTTTATTGAATGAAACGAGCACTGTGACGTAATTAATTAATTATGTATATCTGTAGAGGGAAAGTACTATAGAACCCTCAAATTACTACTCCTCTCGTATTCTTTTTAGAATTTATTTCTCTTTTCGACAAATTTCATAAATTCCCAACAACCAATTTGTTCTCGTTTTATCAGTAACAAGTAGAAACACCCACACTGCCACTTATGCGCTCATTTATAATTCCGTCTAATCCCATAAAATTATGTATTCATCACGACTCTTTCGTTCTCATTTCATCCCGTTCTATTTTCTTATATATTGTCCTACAATGTAATATACCTGAGTAATTATACTTCTAATTATATATATCAAAAGGACTATAATATAAAGCCATAAGGATACTGAGGCACTTTTCGTGACTTAAGTCTTAAACTTGCGTTTGAATTTAAAACATAAAAATATAAAAATATCAATCTAAAAAATCATAAAAACGAGATTGAAATTTATGAGTTTTTAAATAATTTGCTCAATTCAGTAGAACCACACACTCAATGATAAACTACGATGGATAATCCCTTCCTTTCAATCTTATGAAGGTGGTGTTTAATAAATAAAAAAAAATATATATATATATATATATATATAACTAGAAATGCTTATTATATTAGATCAACAGCATACACGCACGTATTATTCATATCATTTAAATACCTTTATCCGCACGGTCTAACTAAATTGAATCGAACGTCTTTAAGTTGAGCTCTATAAGGTTTCGGATGAAAACAAATCGTACCCTTTGTATACGAGTACACGTATAGCGATGTCGTTAAATTGAGTATTTATAATTAAATTTTTTTTTTCTTGCTCGAATGGGTTTTAATATTTTTTGTTAGTATCATAAAAACACGAACAATTCAAATTGTGAAAAATGTGCACAGGTTTAATGGAAATAAATGAACAATATATTATATAATACAACGTGTACATAATTTCATCGAAAAATTTGTCCTGACATTGTTCCCCACCGTTAGATTTCTATTTTGGTCACGTTATAATAACTGAAAACAGATAATCGTGCTGTACTGCATACAAAAAGTATTCAGTATGTGTAGTTTTTAGAAATTCCTAAGTTCTTTTGATAAAATAATCCGTGAAAAACCCATGGAATTTCCGCGCATCGTTGCATTACAGCACGGGTCGAGATAAACGCGAAATTATTAACGCGTCGCGTTATTGTTCCGAGTGTACGTGGCATGACTTTGTGCAGGGAATCGTGTAAATCGATAAATGCTGCAGTGTAAAATCGTCCCTGCGCTTTATGAATAATTCATTACTGTTATCGACGACCGAGGTTCAATATACCTATGTATATTTTCGTCATAAAAAAAGAAAAAACAAAGCCCAAAGGTTGTATTCCATCCGGTATGAGCTCAGCTTACGGATATAGGTATTTACGCGTAGTACGACGGCTGTCGGACCCGGTTGGGATGAAAAAAAAATTGGCTTTGGAGAGACTAACATTCGGAATAAAACTTAAAAAAAAACAACGACGGATATTTATCGGAAACGGGATCGGGCCTCTACTGTTGTACAATAAATCGTTAACCGTTCTCGCCGAATAAATTATAAAATTGATGATAAGGCGTTAAAATGTTACAAGAATTTTCGATACGATATGGTGGTCCTTCAGTTAAGAAAAACAATTCTCCGTTGTTTTAACGATTTCGATGGAAAAAAAAAATTCAACTCTTCAAAAACCCTAGAGGAAGATGAAAAATTTCACGTTAAATTATAAGTCCGAAAATGTTTGATAAGCACCGTTTATGCAAGAGCGACCGTGTGCAGCGTTTGGGGGTGGCATGTCATGTCGATCGGTTCTCGCACTCACTTGCGTGGCTGATCTCGACGGTCGCACGACGATTGCGAAGGTGTTGGCGTTGGCGTTGGCGGTGGCGATGGTGGTGTTGACGGTGGTGTTTGTGGTGTTGGTGACGGTAGTGGTGGAAGAATTGGTGGCGGTGGTGTTGGTGCTGGTGGTGGGGGCGGTGGTGATAGTGCTGCTCACGACGGATACGGCGATGGCGGTGGGCGACGACCGGACCGACAACTGCAGTAATGTCCATGTTCGCGCGCGTTTTCGAGCGTCACGCGCGACCGCAACGGTGACGAATCGGCGAGGACGTCATGTGCGCGCACGGTCGATTTTCTCGGGCAGCGGCAAGCGGACGACGACAACGACGTCGGAGTGAGGGGAAAGTCGAGAGTTTCGATCCGCGTTCGCAAGATCGACGGAAGAGAGTGCCGCGAAGTTGTCGGCCGCTTTGGATTTTTCGCACGGGGTACCCTACAGGGTGCGCGTGATCGATGGACGGCGCTCAGCAATGAGGACAATCGATATGCTTTGGATTTTGAGGGGAAGGGGTGACGGGAGCGAGACGTCGACGACGGGTGTGTGAGGCGCGTGTGTTACGTGTGAGGTGTGTGTACCGTCGCGTCGGATCCGCGGCCAGGAACAGATAAGTCGTGGTGTGACGGCGGGTGGTGGCGGTACCGACAACGCCGAACGAGTTAACGACACATTTCCTGTGGTGTATGTATCGGATGATGACAATGCCTCCTCTCCCTAACCTTCTCATACACGCGAGGCCTAATCTTGTTTCCGTTTAGGCGCATATTCCCTATACTCTCGCGTTGTCCCTGCCGTCCGAGGGTCACGTTCTCGTCACGTACTCCCGCATTAACGTGAATGTGTACGGTACAGAATGTACCGTGGAAACGAAAAAACATTTGAAATAACTCTTATTGAAGTAAAAATATTAATTTACGCGTTCACCTTAATTTTTATAGAAAACAGAGAATACATTATTATGAATGTCGTTCCTTAATATTATGTTCTTAAATACATAATACTTAATACATTAAAGTCCCAGAGGCAGTGTTCATTAGTAGACTTATACATTATTCAAGGACCTCGTACGATAATAACAAGTTACAATCATATTTTTCATAATTGTTTTCTCTAAACTGTATAGCTACAATATGTCGTATATGCCACACAAAGGCTTGACGTATAGCAACACAAAACGAAGTATTTGTCGGTTGTTGGACGCTATAATCGTCAAACAAGCACGTAAAGAAAAACCTTATAACTGGCCCGGACGAATACATCATTAAGTGACAAAGAATATGATCTAGCACTGCATTGAGGTTTAGAATACAATATAATTTTAATACACTTTTTGTAAATGTACCAACATTGTCATATACTCGCACAAGTGCGTAAAGTAGAAAAATTATTAAAAATGAACACCTTTTATAATTATATTTAAAACCTTTTAATTTAAGATAACAAAAAATATTTATAAATGCAAAAAAAAATAAAAGAATGACCGATTACTTCACTCGTACATCGGGCAGTGTTCCGTCCTCCACATCGATGACAGTAGAACGAACCCACTTCATGACTTGTAGGAGCGTTTTATTCAATTATTTTATTCCATTTAATCTGGCCAGCATTTCGTGAAGGTGGTGTGTGAATGCGTATGTGTATGTATGCATTAGCTGACAATATATTTATTTTATGTTTATAATAATATTTAAATTAAATTAGATGTTAGGTGATTATACAAAAAATAGAATGATAGCAATAGATTTCTGGGATATACACCAACAATATTTACATGCACCAACATATGGTCATTCATTTCAAGATATGTGCCGTAGCTTTTCTCCGTGGCGTCCTTGTTAAATTTTATTATAACACGTATTTTATACAAAAAAATCTAATTTTAATTTAAATCAAATCCACCCCATTATTTTTCTGTGCCGTTGGTAACCACCGGTTTCTCCAAACCCTAATTACGACACCGTAAGACATGATAGTATTGTTGATCAATAGACTATGATAATATATAATTTAGATTCTGTTAAAAATAACAAAATTAAGGAAAACAATTTTTTGTTTTTACTCCTGTGAGAGTTATATCAAATTTTTCCATTTTTATAGAAAACCTGTACATAAACGTTCTCTTGAATATCCCAAATAATTTGTCATAACAACCGATTATACATTGCTAATATATCCCAATTCGTACAGCGAGACCCAAGCGACAAATTATTTTGTCCTAACGACCATTTCAATATGAACGGTTACAATAAACAAACTACAAGTGAAGTCGATTTCAAAACAAATGTATTTTGATAATAATTATTGATATACTATACATCATACAACCGGATGATTGAACTAATAAGCTTTGAGAAAATCAATATTTATATTTATATATAATAAAAAGAAAACGATAGAGCAAATATGATTCCAAAATAATCCTATACTATTATTCGTTAAGATTGTACTTTGTAATATAACGTAGAAAGTAATCCGAAGTGTATACTCTATGGAATAAAAGAAGTTTTTAATCTTTCTTTACATTTTCTTAATGATATACAAATATAAGGATCATTGAAAAAAGCAAAAATATTAAAATAATTAATAATGATAATGTAATATTAATAAAATTTGAATTCATTAAAAACAGTGTGTAAACAAATCTTACATATAAAATATATAAAAAAATATATAACATTATCAATAAATCAAACTTTCAAAACCACAGATATCAATACTAAAAATAAAAATATTAAAACATTAAAAGAACATAGAAAAACCTATTTTATGACAAACAAATTATAATACCAAAAAAACCATGAATGAATGTATTAACATATATTATAACTGCTAACACAAGTATACATTATTCAATTCCTAAATATTAAATATATATATATGCGTTATGGTTATATGTGATTAAAAACAACCACAGGATTGATTTGCACCAAAACTATCTTTCTGTAGACAAATAAAATCGCTATGGGAGTGATCGCGGCGGAGTTTGCGATTCCAATTTCACGCTAACTCCGCCGATGTCATCCCCACGACGATTTAATGTTTTATAGTTATACATTATATAATGGATTGTTTTGGAAAAGATAATCAGCATAAATTTGTCATTTTCATATAAAATTTAATATTTTAATTTAACCTAGATCATTAAAAGTTTATCAAAACTATCCGATGTAAAAAAGATTAAAATTATACAAAAATATTTGCTTCATAATTACATAATTGAAGATTACTAAAATCGCTATGGGAGTGATCGCGGCGGAGTTTGCGATTCCAATTTCACGCTAACTCCGCCGAGGTCATCCCC